TTTTTTTTTTTTTTCTTTTCTTTTCGAAAAAGCTGCACGAGACTATTGACCTCGCAGCAACTCGCAAAGTTCACTTTTACTCGATGAAGCATGAAACTACATCGCGGGTCTTTGAGTCCGCGGTTCGATAAATAAATAACCCGTGCCGGTCTCTTCGTCATTGTCATGCGTTTATTTCTGGAGGGACGTGAACGATAGTAATTTTCGTGATATCATTAATAAAAATCAAGCCGCGGGCGCGTGTCCGTGTTTCTTTACACGAAGATATATACATGTAGGATGGCTCGCGACTAATGCGTTGGTGATTTAATGATTCAAGCGTGAGAGACACAAGACGACTTGTAAGTACGCGTCGCGTAATGTTATAAATCCATTTTCTTGAAAGATGAAAGTCTCTTTATTTCTCGCCTCGTAATTTTGAAAAGAGGGGGCCGCACTTGCGGGGGATTCCATCTGTGTTTGCCACTTTATTTTCGTTTGGTCCGACGTCGTTCAGTGAAATATTGGAATTTAATTGGATCATCGTGAGTGTGGAAATTATTGCGAATATATTGCGGATAAGTGGTAATTTGATAAAAGAAATTTTTACTCGAAACTTTTAAAATATCTATAATTATTCCTGTTATCCTTTATTAGAGTTTGAAATAAACAAAGAAAAAAGAAACATTTTCAATCTGTCATTGATATTTTAGATTAGAAATAATCGCTTGTACGACCGTTTGATAGAACATGTAGATGTACGCGTTGAGATTTAATTGAATTGTCGTGAACGTAAGAAATTATTGCAAATATTTCGTCGATAGCTAATAGTGTTCGATAGGATATTCCTTATTATTTTTATCAACTTTATTTACGTAAAAAAGTAGTTTTGTCGCTGATACAATTTTTAAGGATAATTCGTAAATATCCGTTTGAATCGTGGATTAAAAACAAAGTTTGTTTGTACGTTGGATCCTAATTTCAGCGAGGTACATTATAGTTAATTACTCTTTTATGGCTTTCTCTTCCGCCAACAATGGACACCTTTTTTATTTTTTATCGTGGCCTAGCTTTTCTCTTTGTTCGTCGAACTTATTGAAACATTTGTTTCCCTTCGTCAAACGTCGGAAAAATCACTTCCTTAATTATTACGTTCCCGAGCAAGATGTCGATACATTGTAAATTTTAATTTTACTGTGATTGTTGATTCTTAAAGCGAAGGAGAAGTTCACGACGAATCGGTACGTAGAAAATCGACTTGGCAGCTAATTAATTTCGTTGAAAATTATTAATCTAGCGTAACGAACGCGTTTCACATAATGAAAGGATAGGTTTCTGGGAATGGCGGTGCAATATACCACTCGTGTCGCAATTAAAATCAATCGACAATGATTAGAAGATGTCGGCGACACTGACGAATTTTCTTATCCTCTAAGAATCCATTTGGCTTTCGAATTGAAAACAAATGCCAAACGATGTCTA